GTGCGGTGGGCGGACCTTCAGCAGAGGAGGGGCCCGCGGCTGCCGCAGACCTCAGCGCCCCGTGACCCCGGACGACATGAGGGACCCTCGGGTCCTGGAGATACCATCCAGCTTTCAGTCCCATGGAGGCAAAAGGTGCGCTCCGAGCCACGGACCAAGGCGGAGAAACAGAATCCGCGCCCCTCCCCATGCAGACCCCTAAATTAAGCCAACCATCTGGGGACCCTGGGCGGGGGCGGGCTTCCTCTGCCGGACGCACCCGGTACTGCAGCCGGTGCCGCCGCCCCCGCAGGTGCAGGTCCTTGGCGTTGCGGTCGTTGAAGTTGCACTGACACAGTTTGCAACGGAAGCGGATCACCTTCCCTTGGTCGTTGCACACCTGTAACAGCGCACAATTGCCCATTCGCTTCACTAAAGGCTAGGCCTCCTGTGGCACGGTCCCAGCTGGGGTCGTTTGTCCTCCCAACCCTCCTGACAGGGCTACATCCCCAGCCCTTCTTTTTTATTCTGAGACACGGTCTCTAAGTTGCCCAGGCTGGCTCCAACTTGAGATCCTCCTGCCTCAGCCTCCCAGACTGCTGAGATGACAGGTGTGTACCACCATGCCCAGCTGGGTCTGATCATTTTGCATGTCTGTGTAGCTGACATTCTGCCTGTGGTTGGGAATTTGTATGGGGGGGCAGGAAACTAGGAAGTCAGCTAGGACAGCAGGCTGTGGAATTGAGAGGAGACTTAGTTGGGAATGGTGGCGCACACCTGTTATCCTGGATACTGGGCAGGCTGAGCCAGGAGGATTGCAAATGCCAGCTCAGCTTGGGCAATACTGTGAGACCCTGTCTCAGAATAAAAATACAAAAGGCTGAGGTGCAGCTGGGCGCTGACACTTGTCTAGCATATGTGAAAGCCCCGCAGCATTCCTGGCTCACAGCAGCCTCAACCTACCTCCTCCACAAACTCCGGGCCTACCGGCTCTGCGACCCAGCCCCCTGCGGAGGCCTCCCCGGAGCCCTTCCAGGCAGCCTTTTGTCCAGGCCCCTCTGACTTAGACTGTGTCGCTGTCCCCTCCTGGGGTCTGCTGTGCACTGCCATTGGCTCGAGAGGCCCTGGAAGGGAACAGATGTGTTACTTGTGACTGTGCTAGCCAGAAGCCCTGGCCAGCCACGAACCCACCAGGCCATGCTGCAGTGAGAGCCACACAGACCCAGGTCTGTCCTTGTCCCATTGTCCCGTGGTGGCCACAGGAGCCACCTGGCAGCTGGCCTGTCTTCAGTGATCACTGTCAGATTCAATATGGAGTCACTCGGAAGAGAGGAAGGACTGTGGCAGGGTCCGCCCAGTAACAGGGATTGTCATAGGGACAGCAAGGGGCTTATGCAAGAACCACCATCTGCCATGCTGTCCCGTAGGCGTCAGGCTAGGAGACAGCCTGCCTGGCCGTGTCACTAGTCACCGACCTGCATCACTTGGGAGCTGCTGCCCTTGCTGACCAGGGCTGGCTAGGAAGAGCCCAGGGCCTTCACACTGACCTACATCCTGAGCCCTTTTGTATTTTTAGACAGGATCTTGCTAAGTTGCCCAGACTCGGCTAAAACTTGTCATCCTCCTGCCTCAGCCTCCAAAGTAGCTGGGATGAGCATCTCCATGCTCGGCTTCTTTCAAAATAACTTGCAAAGGTTTCTTGGTCTGAATAAGACCCTCAGGCCCTCCTTTGTTCTCTGGACACAGGGAGGCCATGCCTATCCACAGATGCCAATCTTGTCTGTTCTTTTCTCCAATGCACATTCCTTTATTGGAGATTTGTCTCTGTCTCTGTTTGACTTTGACAGTGTTTCTGAATTTGAGAAACCAAAGAAGCAGATTTGAATTCCTGCCTGAATTTAGGTCCCTTTTTGAAGGACCCATGAACTGTACAAAATCTATAGTCCTTAGTGGATCAACTATTAAACAGTGGGTGGACCAAGGATTGTATGCTCTATAATTGGGCAAGTTTGGGGCACCTCAGCAGAGAGAAATCTACTATCAGAATTCCTTGATCTGATCTTCAAATTTATGCTGCTTGCCGAGCAGGTTTGAGGCGCATGGGCCTGGAATCCCACCACTCGGGAGGCTGAAGCAGGAGGATCACTGTGAGTTGGTGGCCGGCTTGGAAGGCATAGCGAGAACGCTCTCTCCAAAAAAAGGCATGTTACCATTCAACAAATACTGAGGCCAGAAATAAAATGAGCCTCTCCCCTGCCCAGAGCAGAATATGGATCTCCGGAGCGCAGACAGCCGATGGACAGGGCTGCCTCGGAAATCCACCTCCACAGCTGGCCGGCGGCCTCACCCAGGCGCCTGACCCTCCCTCGCCGAGGTTTTCCCACCTTCGCATTGGGACTGGGGGCGAGGCGCAGGGTTGGGAGTGCACCCCGGGTTGTTAGCAGAGTGCTTGGCCTCTCCCGGGGCACGAGCACCTGTGTACAAGAGGGCTGTCCCCACCCTCGGGTCCACGGCCGGTGCCCACAGAATTCACGAGGGGCGGTGCTCACCCCAGCCCGGGGCCGGAAGCGGGGGAGGTCCGGCCGCTTCCGTTCCCGCCAGTCCCCTCTCCCACGCGTTCTCGCAAATTCACTGGTCAACACTCAAGCAACCGCA